ATACGCTGGAGCCTATCAGGTTGATCGTTACAAGGTCGCATTTTTCCTCTTATATTGAGGGACTGCCGGTTTGCTGTGAGAGATCACTCACGCAGTGCCAGGCAACAGAATTCGTCTTGCAGGCAGCCATGGTAAGCCACAGTCTTTTGGCTTTTTTTTGGCTTTTTTAACCTTCATAACATGTGGGAATGGTTTCAAACAGTAGCGCCCTCATTTCCCATACCAAGGACCCATTGGGTTGGCCATTTAAAATGGGTTTGCAATGTAAAAGGAGGGGCTGTGGTTTCCGGGTTAACATGCAGCACAAACCCAACTACCCCCCCCCACCCAATTCTCTGGAATGATCATTTTACCCCTCCCACTTACCGTGTGGCTTACAGCAGGGAACATTTCTGTTCAGCCGAGCAGGAACGGGCACCTCTGAATGTCCCCTTAATAAAATCACCCCATTTCAACCAGGTGACCGTGAATGATCTCACTCTCCTGAGGATAACAAAGAGAGATAAGGAATGGATGTTGTCTGCATGCCAGCAAACACCGGGACCATATGCTGCCATGCTTTGTTATGCAATGATTCCAGACTACGTGCTACTGGCCTGGCGTGGTAAAGTGTCCTACCATGGCGGACGGGATAAGGCAGCCCTCCCCAGAAACCTTTTGCAAGGAGATGTCCCTGGAGGATTTCCGCTCCATCCCCATACACGTTAACAGACTTTTCCAGTAGCTGTACTGGCCGCGATTGCCAGGGCAAATTAATCATTAATCGTTAAACACACTTGCTTTTAAACCATGTGTAATATTTACAAGGGTACACTCACCAGAGATCTCTTGTGTGCCCTCAGGGTCTGGCAGCACGCCTTGGGTGAGTTCGGGGGTTACTGGTTCCAGGTCCAGGGTGATAAACATATCCTGGCTGTTGGGGAAACTGGTTTCTCCGCTTCCTTGCTGTGAGCTCTCTTCATTGTCTTCATCATCATCTTCCTCGTACCCTGAACCCGCTTCCCTGTTGCGTGTTTCTCCATTGACGGAGTCAAAGCACACGGTTGGGGTAGTGGTGGCTGCACCCCCTAGCATTGCATGCAGCTCCGCGTAGAAGCGGCATGTTTGCGGCTGTGCCCCGGACCTTCCGTTTGCTTCTCTGGCTTTGTGGTAGGCTTGCCTTAGCTCCTTAATTTTCACGCGGCACTGCTGTGCGTCCCTGTTATGGCCTCTGTCCTTCATGGCCTTTGAGACCTTTTCTAATATTTTGCCATTTCGTTTACTGCTACGGAGTTCAGCTAGCACTGATTT